TCTGTTGTGCGTAGGGTTGTTATGAGTTGGTACTGACTCCATGGCACCTAACAACAGCAACAATATTCCATCTGGTGAGGTCCACATGTATATTCACTGTTTATATTGTTGAAAAAAAGGTATTTGCAAAGAATAAGTCACTGACCTTGTAAAATGCTATCGCCACATCATTTCCATCACCAAGGCCATCTTTTTCAATTACTGGATTTGCCTCTTTGTTTCCAACTTTCGCATTCTAAAACCCAGTAATTATCAATGCATCTTGATTACATATTTGATAAATTTCAAATTGAAGAAGTTGATAGAATTCTTTAATTTCTGCATCATTAGCTTTAGTGGCTGGTACCTAAATGTGAACAGTGGCCATATAAATTGTTCTTCCTTATTGGAGGCATAGGGATATGATCCTATCACAGAAAGCACTGTACTTAAAGATAGATCTTGAAATCCTGTTTGTGATTATGAATGTAATGCCATTCCTCTTGAATTTATCATTTCTGACATTGTAATCCACATAACTGCCTGATACAGAATGATCAATATCAGTTCATTTCAGCTTACTAATGCCTAGGATATAGGAAGAAAGAGTTTCATTTCATTACTGATTACTTCCAATTTTCCTAAATTCCTATTTTGTACATTCCATTACGATTATTAATGGTTATTTGCAGCTGTCTCTTCTCATTTTGAGTTGTACCCAAAATTAAGGTCCCGAAAGCTTTTGCTATCCTGTCATTAAGGTCAACTCTACTTTGAGGAGGCATCTCTTCACAGTTGTATTTTGAGTGCCTTCCGATCTGAGGGGCGCATTATCTGGAACTATATCTGACAATCTTCTGCTGCTGTTCCGAAAGCTTTCAGTGGCAAACCATTCAGAAGTGATCCATCTCTCCTTCTTCCTAATCTGTTTTAATCGGAAAAGTCCACCAGAACCTGACCACTATGAGTGACCCTGCTGGCATTCACAATACTGGTGATGTAGCTTTCAGCATCACAGCAACACACAAGTCATCACAGTGCAAAAACTAACAGATGAGTGTTAGAATGTGACAACACACATACAAATATATTACTTTCACGTGTGTGTGCAGTCCTATGAAAAGAGCCTGGTGGTGCAGTGGTTTAAGCAAAAGATCAGCTGTTTGAACCCACCAGCCACGGCATGGGAGAAAGATAAGGCCATCATCTTCTGTCAAAATCACAGCCTCAAAACCCTATGGAGCCGGCAGAACTGGAAAGCGATATGCAAAAGACTGAAACAAGACCTTTAACTCACACCTTATACAAAAACTAACTCAACATGGATTAAAGACTTAAATGTGAATACCAGAATTATGAAGGCCATCAATGAAAAAATAGGGACAAGTGTGAGGGCACTAATTCAGAGAATACACAGACTACCAAACATTTTGAAAACTATACAAACAAAATTAGAAAATTAGATGATTGGGACATACTAAAAATTAAAAACTTATGTGCATCAAAAGATTTCA